TAAAGAGCTGACAGAGAATTCCAAGGTTACCTAGTTCAAACTCTACCTGACCAAGAATGCTTTCTCTAGCATCTTTTAATTTCTTTTGGTTTCCTATGGAAAGATACTTCCTGTATCAAAAAACGGGCCCTCAATAACTTTAATTTCAAAGGTATGGCCTTGATGATGTCCCAGAATGTCCTTTAATACAGTTTTCCCTTTCACATTGAGACTTTCCCCACCATGATTTCAATATAATGCGGGTTGGCATAAGAAATTAAATGGGAATTTTTTGGGAGTTTTGTGAAAGCTGCAGATGACATGCAAAAGCCAGAAGACAACACAGAAAAAATTTAGAAACTCAGAAATTCATAATACATATGTGTGTGTGTATGTGTATATATACATATATACACATATATTATATATATACAGTACTGTATAATATCAGCATATTTTATCTTTTCATATCATAATAATTCAGACTTCTCAGGTATGAAGGGGGGGACAGAATTTTTATGTGTATTTTCCAGGTTGTTGGGACACTGTGCCCCTAATCTCCATGGTGTGAAAGGGATAACTATATTATAAATCTATGGGAGAAGTTTCCATCCCTCTGACCTCTCCCTTAAACCCAAACACAAATTATGACAAGTGCCTTTTTTATTAGCTAATTTTTTAAGCCTTGGGATCTTCCTTAATGTAAAAAATGTTTTTTGAATTTTTCTGATATAGAGCACATTTGATATTCTGAGGTTCTGATCACAGGAAGGCATGAGAATGTTGTAGCTGAGTCCAACTTGGGACAAGATGATGAATGCTACTTTTACCTATCTTGTTTCTAGTACTGATTTTTTTCTGATATTCATATTTCTCCTGATGTTCTTCTACTAGATGTAGTAGTGATACCCAGAAGAAAAAAAATGTTTTGAAGTTACTATGGTCTCATTAAGCAATATTCTGCATTATGGTACAGTGAACATGGTGCCAAATTTGGGGTCAAGAAGGCCTGCAATCCCTCTGCCTCCAGCCCTTGCTGTGTGAGAATAGGCAAGTTCTTGTGAACTTTTTGAATCTTAGTTTCATCATCTTTAAAATGGGAAAAAATAGTACTTGGTGAACTTCTAACTCAGGACTGCTGAGAAACTCAAATAAGATTTATGTTTATTATACTTGGCAAGTCTTGAAGTGCTATATAAATATATTATCTTTTTCCTATTTAATTAGAACCATTTATTAAGCTCCTACTAAGTGAAGGGCATTATGTTCGACACTTGAGATACAAAGACCAATGTTGAGCTCAGGAAAGAGATAATAGACCAAACCAGAGGCAAGAAGGAGCCACAAAGGTTTTTGAGCTGAGGAGAGACAGGATAAAAACCTGTGCCTTAAGAACGTAACTCAGGCACCTTTTATACAAAGTGAATTGGAGAAAGGAGAGGCTGGAGGGAGGTAGTACAATTAGAGTACAATAGCTCAGGTGAGAGGTGAAAAGGGCCTCCATTAGGCATTTGTTGTTGAGTTATTTCAGTCTTGTCCAATTCTTCATGACACCATTTTGGGGTTTTCTTTAACATGAAGTAGAGAAAGCCATTCCAAAAATGTTGTGGAGCTACCTGACAATATGCCGTCAGGGTGAGGTAGTGAGAATAGCCTAGGATGGCTCCATGGTGGCAAAAGGAGGGACTGTGGTACTCTTAAATTTGAAGGATAGAAGAGGAAGGAAGAAAGAAAGAAGCAAGGAAGCAGGAAGGGAGGAAGGGGGAAAGCAAGGAAAGAAAGAAGAAAAGAATGGAGGGAGGGAATGAAGGAGGAAGGAAAAGAGGGAGGTAGGAAGGAAGAAAAGAAGGAATGAAGAAAGGAAAGAAGGAGTTATTAAATGCTACTATTTGCCAGACACTGTATTAAGTGCTTTCAAATATTGTCTCATTTGATCTTCACAACAATCCTGGAAGGTAGGTGTTATTATCCTTATTTTACAGATGAGGAAATTGAGGCAGACAGAGGTTAAGTAACTTGCCCAGAGTCACACAGGTAGTGATTGAAGCAGGATTTGAACTCAGAGCTTTCTGACTCTGGACCCACTCTATCTACTCTGCCACTCAGTAACAAGGGGGAGAAGTTGAAGTCTGTTTGGGATATTTATTTTGGATGTTTTTGGATAGTGTGATGTGCCGAGGAGGCATCTAAACGGAGATTTCCAGCAGGTAGCTGCAGCTGTAGTACTAGGGTTGAGGAGTGAGATCAGGCTTAGCATATAGATGTTGAAGTCATTTGTATAACGGTATAAAGAACAAAGGAAGCCCAAAAGAAAGTCTCTTCCCTTTAGGATCATAGACTTAGAGCTGTACAGGACTTTAGAATGCACCCATTTCTTCATCTTGATCTCAGTCTAGTCTATCCTGAATGGCTTAACATTATAATTACTAGACTGTAATTGTTTTGAAAGGTACTTTTAAATATTGGTGTATTCATGATGAGTACACAATATTAATGAGTGGAAAGAGCACGTGGGAAATAGAATGTTTTCCAGACCAGGAAATGTCTTTCCCTGTGGATTATCAATGTAACATGAAGATAATGGTGTAGGCATTAAATAACAGAAGTATGTTATTTTTTCAAATTCCAATCTTCCTCTACAGGAGTTCTTATTACTACTAGTAGCCACTCAAATCCAAAATTCCTTTCCCAATCTTACTTAGCAGTCCTGGTTTCTTCCTCCTCCCACCCACTGTTAAAAGTGTGTGCTTTTGAACTCTGCACAAATAAATGAGCTGAAACAAATAAAACTCAGTCCACTTGAGACTTCTAAGACATCTGGTACAGTTATTTTTTTGAGTAATTAGACCAAGAGGTGGTACAATTCCCCAAAGTGGACTACCCTCTCTTCTGATACCCAGATATTTCTGCAATCATCAGCTTGCAATAAAATCTCTAATTTCTCTAACATGTAGCCAAAATGGCTCAGAATCACAAGTTTTGTAACCATGATAAATATGTACTGTAATCTAGTTTTGTAAGTTGAAGTTTGTCATGCATTTATATGTACCAGACATATTCAGGAAAGTTTTTTCTTTGTTCCCCTGGATTCTCTTCTTTCTATGGTTGAAGTCCTTGACTTTGTCTTTATGCAGTTAGCGTAATCCAGCACCTGAGAGCAAAATCACCCTTAGGTACATGCCATTGCTTTTTCTCTGGCTAATCCAAAGTTTTGAACCAATCTGAATTAATTGATTTTTAAATTTAGGGGAAAAATGAGACAATTGGGAAATGCTGTGAGCAAAGTATATCCAGAAGCACTCCTCTGATCTTTGTCATAATTCATCTGGGGAAGAGTTTATCGACTATGTTTTGAAATTCAGCATGATAAAACTGTAGGACTGGGAGGAATTCTTGTGAGTTCGTTTAGTCAATCCCCTTGCCTGTAGGCATGATCACATTTAAACCATCCCAGGAAAGTATCTCTCTAATTTAAATGAATTCCGTAAGGCTATTCTACATCTTCCCTTGATCACCCATTATGAAGTATTATGAAATTTAAATCACTGTCGGAAAAGTTGTCCTCATCTACAGTTTATCTATAACTAAATCCTGAGGGCTGTCAGCAAAGTCCCCTTTATCTAATCCTACACCTGAAGAATTGGTCTTTTGGTGATCATGTGAAGGGTAGTGTATGTTCAAAGGAACTCAATCAGCGCATAAACAAAAGACATGGTTTGGGTACCGCCAACCACAGAAGTGTGTATGGTTTTAGTTATTATTTCTAAGCTTCCTGTACACTGGTTCTTATTACTGTGAGCAGCCACACAATACAACTAATGTCTTCCCTGGTCTTTGAACAGCTATGGTTTCTTCCTTTTCCCATTTGCCAAAGTGACCAAAGTATCTTGAAGAATGTTGCTGCTACCTGTACTCAACAATGACCCCACTCTCCTTGTTACTCTAACTACTGTAGTAACTGGGACCTTTTCATCGAATCTTCTTGGTACCTGTGTAGTGGATAGAGTAATGGGCCTAGAGTTAGGAAGATCTGACTTTACATCCTACCTCAGCTGTGTAACCCTGGGCAAGCTGCTTAATCCCTGCTTGCCTTGTTTTCCTTATCTGTAAAAAGAGGAAAGTAATATACCTGTTTCCCAGGGTTGTTATGAGGATTAAGTGAGATCATTATTGTAAATCACTTAGTACAATGCCTGGCACTTAGTAAGTGCTATCTAAATATTAGCTATTATTACCTTCAGGTAATGGATGGGGCACTGAGTGTTTTATGGGGCTTTTAACTGGGGCCAGAGGAATGCTAAAGGTCACTTATGCTAAAGAATTATAGAATTAAATCTCTACTATCTTTTAAGATTAAGAAAAAACCCTTCTAGATCAGTATTTTGGAAATGTATGTATATCAGCATCTTTTGCATTTGGTTTAATGTACTCTCGGAAATCACTGGATGATAATAACTGTAGCTCACATTTACAAAATACGCCTCCCCACAGTCCTATAAAGCAGCTATTACAAGTACTCTTCTCCCTATTTTACAGATGAGGAAACTGCACTCAATTTGTGACAGAGCTGCGATTTGCACTCGAGTCTTTAGATTTCAAAGCCACCTTTTTTTTCCCAAGGAAGAAACTGCCTCTCCATCTTATTTTGGTACCAGCTGCATCTAAGTGGAATTTGATAACATCTGTAATTGGGGCTTTTTGCACAGCTCCCAACTCTCATTCCTATTATCTGGGATAGATTCACATCAGTAGAGGAAATTTCTACGAGTAACTCTCTCAGGTTAGGACCAAAAATAAAAGCCATGTTTAAATTTTCTTTAGTTCTTCAGGCCAGAAATCAGGCGATGATCCATTATTCCATTTTGATTCTATAGCATGTAGCAGAGATAATCACTGCATATGACCAGATTTTTATCAGCATATGTCTATGTTGTGGTTCAACAGCATGAACACTAACAAGTAAGTGATGAACATAGATGAATCATCTTTTAAAGCCTTAGATTTTGGCATCTCCCACTTACCAGAGGTTTCATCTACTCTCTCATCCACAACATGGTCCTTCTGATGGACCCATTCACTATTGCACTTAAAGTAAATCTGGGTGGCAGGGCTGGCTTTGCAGTACAGGTTCACGGGCTTGTTTTTCACGATGTAAGCTTCTTCAGGCTCAATAAGGAAATGTGGCAGAGGCTCGGGAGGGTCAGATGGAAAAGTTTCTGGTAGCTCATGGAAAAAATCATCATCTGTGAGAATAAAAAAGGAAAAAAAATAGGTGAGTCAGAACATAGTGGCTGTCTTTCAGTTCTTGCTAACATTTAAAAAATATCATAAGGACCTTAAAAGAAATAGAATGCCATTAGAAGTAAAAAAAAGCAAGATTTAGATAACGGCCAAAGGATATGGCCAGGTAGATTTCAAAGGAAAAAAGCCACGCTATTAACAAATACCTCATTCTCATCAGACTGGCAAAGATAACAAAGGAGGGAAATTGCAAATATGAGAGGGGTTATGGGAAAACAGATAGATTAGTGAACCTAGGCAGGTACAGCTTAGGATTAGTCCAATAATTCTGGAAAGCAATTTGGAACTATGTCCCCAGAGTGACTGAACTGTGCATACACTCTGACCTAATTATACCTCTACTAGGCTGATACCTCAAAGAGATCAAAGAAAGAGGAAAAGGACCTATATGTACAAAATACTTGCAGTAGTTGTTTTAGTGGTGACCCCAAATTGGAAACTAAGAAGGTGTCCTCATTTTTGGAGATGACTAAACAAATTATGGTATATGCACATAATGGATTATTACTGTGTCATAAGAAATAACAACATGAGGGACAGCTAGGGGGCACAGTGGATAGAGCACCGGCCGGGAAGTCAGGAGGACCTGAGTTCAAATGCGGCCTCAGACCCAACACTTGACACTTACTAGCTATGTGACCCTGGGCAAGTCACTTAACCCCAATTGCCTTAAAAAAAAAGAAATGACAACATGAATAGTTTCTAAGAAAACTACAAAGACTTCTATGAACTGATGCAGAGCAAGAAGAACAGAACCAGGAGAACTATTTATACAGTGAGGACAACATTACTGAGAAACATAACTTTGAAAGCCTTTAGAATTTTGCTGAATGCAACAATAAACTGTGAGTCCAAAAGAATGAAGATGAAATGTTCCACTTATCTCTTGACAGAGGGGATGACTTATAATGCAGAGGGACACATACATATTTAGGCATGACCAATGTGGGAATGTGCTTTGCTTGACTATATATGTTTATGGTGAGGGTATTTGTATTATTATTTTATAATACATATAATAATGATATGTATTATTATTTTTGGTATTATTATTCTTTTTGTTATTGCTATTGGAACTGTTCAATTGAGGGGGCTTAGTGGGAGGGTCAAATTATAATGCGTATAAAATATATTTTTAGTAAAAATAAAGATTTAGTTTGCATTAGAAAAGACCAAGGCTAATGCCCAAAGTATATATCTTTAAATCTATTTAATATCTATCTATCTATCATCTATCTCTATATCTAGCTATCACATTCAGCTCAAGGAATTATTGAATCAGCTCTTAAATTTATTTTTCAGATTCATGTTGAGATCTGCTACTTTTTAGAAGGTATCGCTACCTCTCATCTAAGTACCCTTCTAATGTTACTTCTGCAAACATATCATTCCTCATCATAGAGAGGCAGCATGGCTTTGAGCACTGGTGTCAAACTCTAAGAGAAAAGGATCCCGGTGCGGACGTATTGAGTTGGAAAACCACAAATGGGCATTATCTACATTGTATTGTACTTTTGTGAAACATTTCCCAATTAAATTTGAGTTTGGTTCTCTTTGAGTTTTGTGGTCTACCCTGGGGTCCCTGAGTTTGACATCTCCGGCAGCATGGATTCTCAAGTCAGCATTAGAGTCAGAAAGACCAGGGCTGAAGTCTTGCCTCTGACAGACAATGACACTGTGGCCCTGGAAGTGATTTATTCTCTCAGAGCTGCAGTCAACTTTTTAACACCACACATTGCAGAATGGGTGTTTGAGTGGAGGGAGATTCCTCATCAGGAGTTCTGTGCACCAGTGAAATCGTAGTCCCAGCCCCCTTTCCCTAAAGATAATGAATAAAACATGGTTATCATTCAGCTATTGCAAATCTCACTTTTAAATTAAAAACTAGACTAAAATTATAATTTTTAAAATTAACATTTGTTAAGAATATTATTCTCTAATACACTATGACCAGGTAGAATTTATACCAGGAATGCAGGGTTGGTTCAATATTAGGAAAACTATCAGCATCATTGAGCATATCAACACCAAAACCAACAGAAACCACATGATCATCTCCATAGATGCAGAAAAAGCTTTTGATAAAATACAACACCCGTTCCTGTTAAAAACACTAGAAAGCATAGGTATAAATGGAGTCTTCCTTAAAATAATAAATGGCATATATCTAAAACCTTCAGCAAGCATTATATGTAATGGGGACAGGCTAGAAGTGTTTCCAATAAGATTGGGGGTGAAACAGGGATGTCCATTATCACCAGTTATTCAGTATTGTACTGGAAACCTTAGCTCTAGCAATAAGAGAAGAAAAAGAAACTGAAGGCATTAGAATAGGCAAAGAAGAAACAAAACTATCACTCTTTGCAGATGACAGGATGATATACTTAAAGAATCCTAGGGAATCAAGTAAAAAACTACTTGAAATAATAAACAACTTTAGCAAAGTTGCAGGCTATAAAATAAACCCACATAAATCATCAGCATTTCTATATATTACCAACAAAGCCCAACAGCAAGAGATAGAAAGAGAAATCCCATTTAAACTTACTGTAGACATTATAAAATATTTAGGAGTCTACCTCCCGAAACAAACCCAGGAACTCTATGAACACAATTACAAAACACTTTTCACACAAATAAAATCAGATCTAAATAACTGGAAAAACATCAGTTGCTCATGGGTACGCCGAGCTAATATAATAAAAATGACAATCCTACCTAAGCTAATTTACTTATTCAGTGCCATACCAATCAAACTACCAAAAAATTATTTTATAAAGTTAGAAAAAATAATAACAAGATTCATTTGGAAAAACAAAAGGTCCAGAATATCAAAGGAACTAATGAAAAGAAATGCAGGGGAAGGTGGCCTAGCAATTCCAGATCTTAAATTGTATTATAAAGCAGCAATCATCAAAACTGCTTGGTACTGGCTAAGAAATAGGGAGGTGGATCAGTGGAATAGGTTAAATATGCAAGACACAGTAGTCAATGACTATAGTAATCTATTATTTGATAAACCCAAAGACCCCAGCTTCTGGGATAAGAACCACTCTTTGAAAAAAACTGCTGGAAAAACTGAAAAAGAGTATGGCAGAAACTAGGCATAGACACAAATCTCACACCATATACCAAAATAAAGTCAAAATGGGTTCAGGACTTAGATATAAAGGCTGATACCATAAGTAAACTGGGAGAACAAGGAATAGTTTACCTATCAGATCTATGGAGAACAGAAGAATTCATGACCAAACAGGAGATAGAGAACATTATGAAAGCAAAATGGATAATTTTGATTACATTAAATTGAAAAGTTTTTGCACAAACAAAGCCAATGCAACTAAGATTAGAAGGAAGGTAGAAAATTGGGAAAGAATTTTTACAACCAGTCTCTCTGATAAAGGCCTCATTAAGACAAATTTATAAGAACACAAACCATTCCCCAATTGATAAATGGTCAAAGGATATGAACAGACAGTTCTCAGATGAAGAAATTAAAGCCATCTATAGTCATATGAAAAAATGCTCTAAATCGTTATTGATTAGAGAAATGCAAATCAAAACAACTCTGAGGTACCACATCACACCTATCAGATTGGCCAACATGACAAAACAGGAAAATGATAAATGGTGGAGAGGATGTAGGAAAATTGGAACACTAATACATTGTTGGTGGAGTTGTGAACTGATCCAACCATTTTGGAGAACAATTTGGAACTATGCCCAAAGGGCTACAAAAATGTGTATACCCTTTGATCCAGCAATAGCACTTCTAGGGCTATATCCCAAAGAGATCCAACAAATGGGAAAAGGACCCACATGTACAAAAATCTTTATCGCAGGTCTTTTTGTGGTGGCAAAGAATTGGAAATTGAGAGGATGCCCATCCATTGGGGAATGGCTGAGTAAGTTGTGTTATATGAATGTAATGGAATACTATTGTGCTATAAGAAATGATGAACAGGCTGACTTCAGAAAAACCTGGAAAGACTTATATGGTCTGATGCAGAGTGAAGTGAGCAGAACCAAGAGGACTTTGTACACAAAAACAGCCATGTTATGCAATGACTAAGAATGTTAAACTGAACGCTTCTCAGCATTATGAGGATCTAAGACATCTCCAGAGGCCTCAGGATGGAAAATGCTGTCCACATCCAAAGAAAGAACTGTGGAAGTCGAATCACTATCACTTATTTTTACCTTCTGTTGAGTTTTGTTTCATCTTTCTGATGGTTCCTCCTATTGGTTTTGATTTTTACTTACAACTTCACTAATGTGAAAATATGTTTAATGGGAATGTAAATGTAAAGCCCATGTCAGATTGTGCACTGTCTTGGGGAGGGTGGTGGGGGAGGAAGGGGGAGAAAAATTTTCAACTCAAAAGCATATGGAAGAAAGAAAAATTTAAGAAAATTTAAAAAAAAGAATATTATTCTCTACTATTGTGCTATAAGAAATGATGAACAGGCTGACTTCAGAAAAACCTGGAAAGTCTTGAATGATCCGATGCTGAGTGAAGTGAGCAAAACTTGGAGAACATTGTATATGGTAACAACCACATTATGCTATGACTAACATTGATAGACTTAACCCTTTTCAGCAATACAAAGATCTAAGACATCTCCAAAGGCCTCCTGGTGGAAAATGCTATACACATCCAAAGAAAGAACTATGGAGTTTGAATGCAGATCGAAGCATACTATTTGCTATTTTGTTTTCTTCTGTTGTGTTTTGTTTCCTCTCTCTGGTGGTTCCTCCTGTTAGTTCTAATTCTTCCTTACAACATAACTAATGTGAAAATATGTTTAATAGGAATGTATATGTATAGCCTATATCAGATTGCACACAGTCTTGGGGAAGGAGGTGGGGAGGGAGGGGGAGAAAAATTGAAAACTCAAAAGCTTATGGAAGTGATTGTTGATAACTCAAAATAAATTAATTT